GGCTAATCGATCCGGTGCGAGCCGACGAGGCCTGCTGAAGACCGGCGGTCCCGGCGTGGTCCGGATGTGATGTTGGGTTGCGTGCTTTGGTGCGGTGACTCGTCCGTCGGGCCTCGTGATGTCCGGGAATTGGAGTAGCAGGTCCTGATATTTGCTGTCAGGCAATGGTGTTGTCTTGATGCTGCTGATGTTGCTGTCGGTTATATGTCCGCGTGTCTCGAGGTTTGTGAGCTGGTCGGAGAGGCGTCGGCTCCGTAAGTCGACGAGCAAGCCGTAGTGCGAGAGGAAATCTGCGCCAATGATGGGCTTCTCGACGTCGGCTAACACGAACTTCCAGGGGAACGCGCGTCGTAAACCAAAATTTAAATTTAGCGTTATGATGCCGTATGTTGCTATGGTGGTTCCATTCGCCGCTGATAGTGCGTACGTTGATCGCCTGCATGGGCCCGGAACCATTGTTCTGGGGTACACACAGAGATCGGCTCCGGTGTCGATTAGGAAACGCGTTTTGGTGTGGCGATCGGTAACGAAGAGACGGCGTGTTGACGTTGTTGGGCGAGGGTCGCTTGCCGCCTCTAGCACCTGCCCTGGTCGTTTCCCATCTTCGCACATGGCGGTTCGCATTTTTTTGCATCGGCGCCGATGCAACTATAGCATAGTAGAAATTCCAAACAAATGCCGAAAGATATTTACATTTAACAGTATTTCTGAAAAATAACGTTTGAAAAAGTCAAAAGCAATGTGTCATAAAACGTTCAGGAAGATGCGTTAGGAGGAGGACAATGTTTAATTTCTTCCTTGTGTTCCTTCCCTATTTCAGATTAACCCTATAAGTTTTATTTCTTTAAAGTTTATTTTTGTTATTTATAAACTTATAGAATTTTTTTGCAATATATTACACTGTTCTATCACAAATGAAAAAAAATCGATCAAATTGACCTGCCTGGACAAAATATATATACAAAATGTACATTTAACGAAAATTCGCCCATATACCTATCCCATTCGATTCCATTACAGGGTGAGTTTTTTTAACTTGAAACTTTAAAATATGTCGCGTAATAAGCAGTCGAAAAAACTATATAAACTAAATTTAATAATTCCGGGGGGATATATTAGTGCTAAAATTAGTTTATCCCTGTATATAAAATGTGACTTAGTTTGATAAATATATTGATTAAAAAACTATTCCAATTTTATTTTTTCTCCTTCCCGCAACCCTCAAGGAAAAGAACACCCATGGTGTGCACACCCCCTATCCATTAGCCACTGCTACCAACCAACTGTAGATGAGCACCATACGTCAAAATGAAAAGCTGCCGGCCCTGTATATATACATACATATATTATATAATATGCTGGATTTTAATTTTAATTAATCTACATACAATTAATTACCAATTTGACAAAATGTTTTTGTAAACATAATATGGCTAATAAAAGGATTTGGTGAATATATGGCTAATAAAAGGTTATAGGTTATAACTAATGATTTAATTTCCATTTAATAATTCTAATCCTATAGCTGTGTGCACTGTGTTCATTACGTAGGTATTTCACATTGGTTTTTTTAAGCTTTGAATAAGTAGCTACGTGCCCACTGTTTTTCTAAATCCATTTAGTCTTATCAAACTGTCCACAAAAGAAAACAAAATAACCACATCGGATCAGATAGTCGTTAGTATAATGAACCAAATCTAGTGTCACTCGAAACAAATATAAAATACTTCAAAGAAAAATCTTTAATTCAATTTTTTCTATATCAAGAGTTTACGTTTTTACGCCTTAAATAAAATTCAGTAACACTGTAAATTTAAACAATATTGTATTTAATTAATAAACCTCTCTATTTAAAACCATGTTCCAGGCAGGATTTTTGCCTTTTCTCTTTACAATTTTATAAAATATTATTAAAAATTTAAAGACAAGACATTTTTTTTATTGGTTGCTTTCGACCTTCCATACATGCTTTAGTGTAAAACATGATACTAGGTACTGTCTTAGTACCATGGTGTATCATATAGTGACTTATTTGGATATTTTTATCTGATTTGTTTTGTATATCATTACTAATGATTAATTAGTACCTAATATATTAAGTTTATTAAATAAGTAATATTGGACTACACTGGTCTGTTTAAAGTTTGACTTACATAGTTTACCTAATAATTTTAAAGTAACGACGATAAAGGTTTTTTTCATCAAGCAGTTTTCGTTAATTAAGTGTCAGACTATTGGCATGGGCAATATGCCTAATATTATCCTTTAAGGAACATATTGTTGTTATGGCACAATGCGCATGCAAATAGTCCAAGAACTAAGAAGAACTGGTTGATGAAACAAAATTATTATTGGCGGGTCTACTGCTGCAAATCCGGGAGATTGCCCGCATATTCAATTAGAAGCATCTTTGTTTAATAACAAAATAAAAGCAATTTTTCTCACTATCAAATTATACATGTATGTATAGTACATGTACTGCAGCAGTACATGTACTATGCATACATGTATAATTTGATATATATATTTATATACACTGTATATAAATCCGAAAGATTGCCCACATATTCTGGGACAACCTTGTATATGATTTGATTTATGTCATCTACAAATTTTTTCTTTACAACATAATGTAATATAATAGCCAAATTATGTTTATTTTCCATACCAAGAAGTTATTCTTTGAGCTTGCCAATAAGCCTTGTATATCGCTTGAAGATTGGATTAATTATAATACTGGTAATTTTGCTTAATAACACACCAAGTTTTAAATGACGGAAAAAAATGGCCACAAAATCAGCCTGCAGGAGGTTCCTCAAAATTTCGAAATCAATGCCCCAGGAAATCCGACCAGATCCTCTACTGAAAAACTAAATATTTAGCTATAAATTAAAAAAATCATACAATTAATTAATCTGGGTTTTTAATTAATTGATAGGGCTTATTTAAGAAGCTTAAAATTAAATTTACACTACCTGAATGTTTCTTTTTGGTAAAGAAATACGTGAAAATAGATTTTTTCAGTTTTTAATAAATTACCCGGCCCTCATATATTGAGCAATAAAATAAAACGAAATTGTGTATTATAGACAGTTTAGACATTGATTGTCAAAATATATTTATTTCTGCTCCTGCGCCAGCCCTGATAATTTTTTAAAGAATTATGTAGTACATAAAAGAATACGTAAACAATGTTTTAAGTTCTTAGACTTAATTTTATTTAGATTTTTTTTTAATTAGCTCCTTGTTCAGTCCAAACTCATTGGGTAAAGGAAACATACCTAATACCTAAATATACCTAATAGTATATTGTAAACGAGTGTTACAATGACCCTGTGATATCGAGTTATTTTGCATGAACGCGAAGCGGAGTGCGGCAATAGTACGATCTTTAAAAAACAAGTAGTTTAATTAATGTTACTAGGTTGGCACAATTGACTTGAAGCAAAATGTCAAAATTTAACATTTAATGTCGAGTTCTGTATTGTCCGCTGAAGTGACAAGTGTCCTTGGGAGGACAATATGGGGCTCACAGCACAAAAATAAGCTGATCAGCGACAAAACCCCAGAATCTACATTAGATTGGTGAAGAGGCAAAAGATTCCCACAAAGGATGGTCAAAGTATTCAAGGATTGAATATACAGGTGCAAACAGCCACGTAGTGCATGGTCAGTTTTTTTTTGCCTATGGACTTCCGCTGCCATTATCGTGATTTTGTTTATGTTTAAGACATTATAATGTTAGTGAATTAAAAGTAACTTTGGACTTGTTGATTTTGCTTATGTTTGATTGAAAATGTACTAAGATCTTTTAAGAACGAACTGATGCTAAAATGAAATAATGTATAAAAATTGTAAAGATTGAAGTGATGGTGATATATATAAATGTAAACAAGAAGAAGCTATAATACATTTAATCAAAAGGAAAATGAGAAGTTATAGGTAGTCCTAGACTCGCTTCCTCCAGTAGCTAAAACAGAAAGATTCAGCTGGCTAAATCCCGGAAGGGAAAGGCCAAAACAATCAGAAGAAGAAGAACATCTAATGTCAGTCAATATAAAACGTCAAATTTTGTTTTGTCTATTTCGACCATAGACAAGGGATAGGTTGGGTGGGCGGGGGGTTAGTATTTTGATGCTTTAAAGAGCTAAACACAGTTTACATTTACTTCTAATTATTTTATTCAAATTTTATAATATAATTTTAATAAACAAAACCAGAAAAATGAGTTTTAACCAGAGACCCGGACCGAAAAAAAAAACCGGAACGAAACCGGTTTTTTTTTCGGGCCGGAACCCGAACTGGAATCGTTTTCGCTTTTTATAAAATCTGTTGTACCGGAAGTGTAATTTTGTGCTTCGCTTAATTGAACAAAAATATACTTCTTAGCCTAATGACATTTTTTTTAGGTCCACCCTTACTTCCTAAGAAGTCCCAGAAGCCAACTGAATGGCTTGTGCGGGTTAGGGGTAGGAACGGACCGCGGGCTTAAAGTCCCCTCCGAAGGACTATTACACAAAAGGACAAACTCAAATAAACAGCCATACCCCTGGTGAGATTCGAACCCACGACCTCCGGCTTGTAGTCAGCAGCACTAACCACTAGTCCACCGTCTATTAGATATTTTTAAAATTTTCAAAATCAATTCATTAAGGTTAAAATAAGGTGAAAAAACAGGCTGTTTGTTATATATATTATAATATTATAATTATTCTAGGTAAATCTTTTATTACCTACCTAAAATGACCGGTATTTTTTATTTTAATAAAAAAAACTTTTTATAATAATTAGTATGACGTATTTGGTTTATTGTTTAGGAAAATTTATATTAATTTTAATTTTCCTGCAATAAATTAAAAAACTATTTACTTAATCCATATTTTCTTTTATAGGATTATTTTTATCTTATGTTGTAAATTAACTAAACATACATATTTACCAAATTTTTGATTAAAAACATAAATAATTTATATGGGCCACAATTTAAATTTAGTAGTAGTGCTGTATTGTTTTAAATAATGTTTCAATACAACCTAATTTTATTTTTGTGGGCAGCCACAATATTTTCATTAGGTAAAATTTAATTTAAATTAATGCATGTGTAATTTCAAAATATAATTTAAGGATTATCGCCTTTAGAAGAAAAAATTATTGGTGGATCACTAGCTAACATCGAAGAATTTCCCTATCAAGTTTCTTTGCAATATAAAGGAAGACATTTTTGTGGAGGGTCTATAATTCACCCAAGATATATATTAACTGCTGCACATTGTGTGGATGGGTAATGAAATTAACTTATAGTACCGATAGTCTCTGTATATATTTTGTTATAGAATGGCAAGAACAATATTATTTTTGTAGTGTAAATAAACATAATTCATGAAAATATATACAGCAACTAAAATAATACCTATGTACATACACCTTAAGATAGGATGGTGCGCATGTTGGGCGGGGCTTAAATACGTCACTTGATGAGTGTCTTTAAATCTTTAACGTGCTTTTTAATTATCTGCTGCTAAAATTCTTGTTTTTGCGATGCTTTTGGATGTTAACTTGCTCTATTTTTTGTTTAACTTGTTGTTTTTGTGTTCGGTAAGGTTCGAGTTACTTTTCAGTGTTCAAATTATTGTTATTGCGTTGTGTTAACGTGTTCTGTTTGCTTAATATTGCTTTTGTGTTGCGTTAACTTGTTTTGTTTGTGTTTTAGTTTGTGTCGTGCCATTTGCATTTATTAAAATGCTGTGTGGCATATTTGGATGCAATTCGGACAACCAGTCCCTTTAAATAAAAACATTAAATTTAATCGATTCCCGAAAAGGTGTGATTTGTGGAAACAGTGTTTAAATTCCACAAAAGGAATAGACAATATTAACGTTAAGACCGTTTCTGTTTCCTATAAACATTTTCTGGACAGTGACTATAAGTTTAATTTAAAACACCAACGCTTAAATTACAGCCCTAAATGTTATCAAGGACTGAAAGCATCTATTATCCATATTATAAATAACACTTTCTTCAATATTAAGTTTAATAAAAACGCACTATGTGCAGATATTTCTCTATTTTCTTTGATAATATTACTATTATTCGTGTATTCTCACGGCAACTACTCATTAAGTGACGTCATGTGCGGGACGAACCAAAACTCGTACACGGAAATATTGCCCTTTCTAACAATTCCAACTTGTAAAAAAACTTTTAAATGTCCATATATTTAATATTTGGCAAAATTTAAGTTACCAATATACAACACATTTTCCAAATTTTTATTTTTAGATTAAATAATTTTAAAATTATTTCAACATACAGTGCTTAAGGAATTGTCAAAAAAAAGTAAGTCCATGAAAAATGTTTAGTTTTATTAATTTCATAAACACAATAAAAGGTTGCACCTCACAAATAATTATAAAATGCAAGTAATAATTATATATTTATAATTTTCCTGTAGCAAATTTAACGGAATATAGTTGCTCTCAAGATTTTGGATACGTTCGAGATAAACTGTTGACTGTCATTTTAATTAAAATAATAGTAGAAATAAAAAAGTACATTATAACAGGCGAAGAAAGCCCATATTATAGCCAAGGCAATTAATAAGCTTTTACCGCCTTGTTTTATAGGCTATTTTTTTAAGCATTTATTAGAATATTTCTTAAAGATTTTGTCACATCATTTTTGGGTTCAACTGACCTGATGACATTTTAGTTTTATTCTTGTACTGGCGTTTATAATAATTTGACTTTTGAACTAGTATTAATATAAAATCTTTCTAGAATTATGAGTTTTATAATATAAAAATTATTTTACACTTAAAAATATACCGTAAAACGGGGTTACTTCGACAGATTTTAGCTATATTTCGAGCTGTGTGAAAAGAACCTTGGCCTATGTGCCATCGTAACAATTGAACCTTTGGCTCTTTATAGCCAAAATATAGGACAATAACAGAACATTGGATAACCTAAAAAACAACAAGAAGCCTGAAAAAAAATCATTATATTATACATGTCGAAGTTACCCCCGCTGTCGAAGTAACCCCGTTTTACGGTATACGAGGTGTGTTCAGAAAATATCGGAAATTTTCGTTTTTTGAAACAAATATTTATTTAATCGTTTAAATTTATGTTGTCGCCTTCAACATAGTCCCCATTGGATATTATGTACATGTGCCAGCTCTTCTTCCAATACTCGAAACACTTCTAAAAACTCGATCTTTGGGATAGACTTTACTTCTTTCAGCGATGCGCTTTTAATGTCATCTTTGCTTGTAAAACGTCGGCCCATTAAGGTTCTCTTTATTTTTGGGAATAGGAAAAAGTTAGACAGAGGCATGTCTGGCGAATATGAGGGCTAGGGCATCATTACAGTATTGTTTTTGGCCAAAAATGTTTTTCAAAATTTAACAATTTTGAAACAAATTTTGCTGCCACGCGTTTCATCCCCAAAACATTCGAAAAAATTTCATGGGATGAGCCAATCGATATACCAACATCATCAGCGACTTCTCCGATGGTTAATAATCATTTCTTCCAATTTTTCCATGTTTTTATCGGTTATTAATGTGCTTGTGCGTTCGGGGCTTTTGTCATCTTCAACGTCTTCACGGCCATCTTGGAACCTCTTATACCACATGTAAACTCTTGTTTTACTTATAGCAGACTCACTATAGGCCTTTGTTAACATTTCACAGAATTTATTTAATTTTTTAAGCAAAATTGGATACAAATTCTTTGATCCATTTCTTTTGCAAACGAAAATCACCGAGCTCATAAAACACGTCTAACCTTAGCGGCTGCCACAGACAAAGTAAACAATGAAAATAGACTAAGTTTTTATCATACTTCGGGGGCATGTATACCAACATAATAAAAAAATTTTATGACAACCGGACCCTCCGAACCCGCGAAATTTAACAATTCCCGTTATTTTCTGAACACACCTCGTATAACCTAAAAATAATGTGACCAAATCTTAAAAACATATTCTAATTGAATGCTTAAATAAAATTGTACATAAAACACGGTGGCGAAAGCTTATTAATTGCCTCGATCATAATCCAGTGCCCTGGCTGGCGCCTGTGCGGTAAAATGTATGCTCGGCTATAATATGCATAAAGCTCATGAGCTTTCTCCGTCTGGTCTATAATGTACTATTGTTTGTGAAATTAATAAAAAATAATTGCATGTAGTAACTTTAGAATTATTTAAGCTAGAAATATAAAATTTGGTAAATGTGTTGTATATTGGCAACATTTGCTAAATATCAAATATAAGGGTCATTCCATTTTAAAGTTATTATTTTTTTTTGTACAAGTTGTATATAATATTTGTAATGATAATACTATTAAAAATTTGAGTGTGCCTTACCTTTCTTTATAAACACAATATTGAAATAAAACTTTTAAAGGAGATGATAGGGATCGAGTTTTAGAGTAATGATTCAAGTTGTGTCGTAAAGTCACCAATTTGTGTATATCATTATTTTCTGTTACAAATTTATGAAAAAATGTCCAGTTATTTTTTAGTTACCTACTGACTGTTTACTCGTCAAACCTTTTCAATACCCATGTCAAGAAGGCTGAGAGGAAATAGGAAATGTATCTTACGGCATATTGTCATATCCATGCTCTCCTGATACTTTTAAAACCTATTTTTGATCGCGGTATTACGATATTAACAGCAAAAAAATATTGAACCTCTTCGAATTCATTCTCTCCTGATGCTTAAAACCTATTTTCGGTGTTAACTTTGTATTGCAAAACCCGCTTATGCACATCGACTCTCACATATTTTAATTTTATTTTCCGTGCCATATTTTTTGCTTCAATTTTTTGGAGTAAAGAATTTTCCTCATCATAACTTACTTTTTGCTTTTTGAATATCTTTGGTTTTATTTTTTTTAATATTAAAATTTGCATTGTATTTTTAGGCAAAGTGCATATAACCTTAATATAAGCGCAGGAAGTATTTATCATGTAGGTGGTGTAACTATTAAAGTATGTAAAATCTTTCAACACCATAAGTACGAAGATTTCGATAACGACATTGCAATTTTACAAGTAAAAATATTATATAGTTACTTTATACTTTTATTAACTTATAATAGCTTTGCAGCAACTTATCATTTAACAAAAATATCTTACCAATAGCGCTTCCCAAGGAAAATGTATTTATAAGACCTAATACAAGAGGATTTGCTAGTGGATGGGGTGCTAAGAATGTAATTACAACAAAATATTATTTTAACATCAAACTCCGGGAGTCTGTTCTAAGGGTAAAATTTAAATAAAACAAAATTTTTATTCCAATTTTGAAAGAGTTCTTGTAATAAAATAAATCTCTAACAATAATTGAAGTAGAGGTATCTAGGGCTTTAAATTGGTCGATATAGTCTTATTAGTTCAAGATATTAAGACCCCGTACACTAGCCAATATTAAGAAAATACATGAAACATTTAAAAAACAATTGCCGCCCTTCGTAGCAAAAAATGTTTATGATCCAATGTAGATAAAAAAATTTGTAATACTCTTAAATTATGTATTCTATTTATTTTTATATGTATAATTTACTCCTGGATTTTGGTGTTGTAAAAATTATAAATTATATTATATCAAATTTTATTTTATTAAAGGAAAATGGAACAGTTACTTTAAAGTTAAGAAAGGTTATGGTACCTATTCTAGCACCGGAGACTTGCAAAAGAGGATATTCAGACTACATAACAAAAAATATGATATGTGCAGGCTACTTAACTGGGGGGAAAGATTCTTGTCAGGTTCCTAAGTAAAATCCTTTTCCGTACAAAAAATAAACTCGTACTTTTAGGGTGACTCTGGAGGGCCCCTAAGAGCTAAAGGAAAACTGGTTGGTATAGTATCCTGGGGAAGTGGTTGTGCTCGTGTTGGCTATCCAGGAGTTTACACTAATGTTGCAGTCTACAGAAACTGGATAAGAAATATAGTTCATGTTTAATTATACTATACACATTAATTAAACAATTATTTAAGTATAAAAATGTAGGGGAGAATGTTATAGAGGTTCTAGAACATGTTACAATTTTTTTTAAACCACAATAAATAAATCCATTAAACCAGAGTATTATGCGCGTGCACTGTCTTAAATATTCCTAAATAGTGCACAAGTGCTCGGTACGTAATAAGTCTACGAATCCTAATATTTTTTATATTGAATTCAGGGGCGGATCCAAAAAATATTTTGGGGAGGGTTTTCCAAATATCCATTTACATTAAAATGATTGACAATTTCATGAAGAAAAAAATGTTGTTGAATATTGCCTTCACATATGTAGTAGGGTGGAGCGAAATATGAATATTTTTAAAATTGAAAACGCATGTATATAGAAAAGTTGTGTATGATAAAAATAAATATTTTGGTGAAAAAAAATATTTTTTTAATTCCTTCCGCTGCCCCAGAGCTATCCTAAATATAAAAATCATAAAATTCAGAAGAGGGCAAAAAGGGGTTGAAATTTTTTTTTTGAGTCAAGATTTTTTTTTAAATATAACCAACTTTTCCTAAATTGGGCACATTGATTTTCAAAAAAAAAAGAAGCTAAATGGGGGCCCTCGGCAATTTTAAAAATACCAATATTTTCATATTTGACATTGATTCGGGGTACGCCCATTTCGCTTGTTTTTTTTGAAAATTAAAGTGCTCAACTCTGAAAAAGTTACTTATGCTAAAAATAAACAACTTGGCACAAAAAAAAATTAAATTTGTATTACTTCCGTTTTTTGCCCCAGCTCAAATATTATAATTTTTGTGTGTGTGCCATGGCTCTGCAGAAGTGGAAGGAATTAAAAAAAATATATACTTTTTACCACCAAAATGTTTATTTTGAATATCAGTAACTTTTCCAAAATTGGACACTTTCATTTTCAAAAAATAACAAGCGAAATAGGCGGACCCCCAGTCAGTGTCAAATATGAAAATATTTGTATTTTTAAAATTGACCGGGGGCCCCCATTTAGATTTTTTTTTTGAAAATCAATGTGCTCAATTTTGGAAAAGTTAGTTATGATCTAAAAAAATCTTGGCTAAAAAAAATTTTTTTAACCGTTTTCTGCCCTCGTCTGTATTTTATGATTTTTATATTTAGGATAGCTCTGGGGCAGCGGAAGGAATTAAAAAAATTATTTTTTTTCACCAAAATATTTATTTTTATCATACACAACTTTTCTATATACTGGCGTTTTCAATTTTAAAAATATTCATATTTCGCTCCACCCTAATATGTAGCTCATTTTTCTATATGATATGTAATAATATTCGTACGAAATTTCCAATTTACTGATCGCCCAGAAGGTAAGTTTCTCATATTGATGAATCCCAAAAAAAAGTTGACCGCTTCGCTATAGCGAAAATATATATATTTATCACTGTCCTGAAGAACTTTAAGGTATTCCGAAAATCATTAATGAAACAGAAAAGGCTCAAGCTCAAAAATGCGTAGATGCGGCTTAAAAATGTAAAGGTGAATCATTCATTAAAGGCATTGTATTTAAGACGACAGAAAGTAATACACTGAAGCTGAAAAAATTCTTGAACGTCAACTTGTCTGGATTGATGCTTGCAACATGCTCTATAATAGTCCAGAAGCAGGACGATTCGACCGGCCTCGAAAAGCGTAAACTGCTTATTGCCCAGCCGATATTGTGATGTTTTTATAACACAGTTCAACACGATTTTCCTCCCATGAAATTTTTTTACAGATTTCACCGTTTCACTAAATCACGTCATTTATTTTTTTTACACAGCCATTATTTTAACCTAAATAGATTTTTAATTCTCTATTTTGTTATTAATTTTTTTTTTCTTCAAATACTTTATGTTTTTACATAATGAGCCAGATCACGTCAAGTGGACCCCCCATTTTCCACTTGGTAATAGATTTTAAATTTGTATACATCAATCGTTAGTAGTCATTAGTAACAATATCTCCTAAAAATATATTTTTTTTAATTTTAATTTTAACAGATTTTTTTTGTTACAAAGATTTTTCTCACTTTTAATTAAAAAATTAATTGTGAAAAAACTGTTCACAGTTTCTTAGTGAAATTTTCAGGACTTATAGGCTAATATGTGTATTTTTGTAAACAAATAAAAAACATTTTTTTTTAAATTTTTTTCATACTTTTTTTGATCTTGAAAATATACAATTACAATTTTTAATAAAGTCTCTATCAAATAATCAAGTTTTTTTTTCATGGTTACATGTACTGGATATTAAGGTTTCATATCCTGAAAAAAAATTTCACTGCCCGGCATTACTTTAAACATTATTAATTTTTTACTGCAATGCGCGTAGTCGATGCCGCGCTCGACACACTCGTCTGAATTTGCTTGTGGGTATTAAGATTCGCCAAATTTGGCATAGGCTTTTAGCTTTTATTTTGCCGCCCTAAAATTTGAAGGGACATATAGGCATATGCCTATACTATATAGTTTGTTTAGCTTTTATTTTTGCCGCTCTGAAATAAAGAGGGGCGCATAGACTTGTGCGCTTTAGCATTGATTTTAATATACATATTTATCAATAAATTTATCGTCTTCCAGTATTTCACAAATTTTTAATTAATAAACAATAAAATAATTGGATTGATTAATTAGATTTTGTATTGTAAAACTTTTTATTCAACTTTTATTTAATTTTACATTGCAATTTAATAATTTCTAATAACTTTATGTATTGTGGTTTTTACATCTTTTGAAAAAAATTTGCAGTTTAGAGTTTCTTTATCTAAAGCTTCAAAATAATGGTACTTTCGGGTATTTTTTACGGTGATAGCTTGTTCTAAACGAGATTTATATTTAGCTTCGTGGCAATTATGATCATTTTGTGAACAGTAACCAAAATTAATATTTTTAAAAAAACTGTTTGCCCATTCGTACAATGACTGCGCTGTTGTTATATGTCCGTCATTGTCACGTTGGAGACTAGTGCGATACGCATGTCTTTTTACACTTCCTCCCAATCCATCACATGCTCCTTTGCCATGAGATGTGGCGTAATTTATGTGTTTCTTTACGTCATTATCTATATAATACACCACGTAAGGATGAATTGTTGCCTGGGTATTGGACCAGTGATGCGACTGAATTGCGTTCTGAACGACAAAAGTATAATTTTCTGCAAAATCAAGACAAACTATAAATTCACCAGCTTCAACAAATTCTTTTTTATTTGTAAAATAGGAAGCTTGTGATTTTGCCAAAAAGTCGTGCCTCAATAATTCTGCCCACTTTTGTTTTAAACTATCCAGAAACTCTTCTTTTTTACACGTTTTTCCAACAATTTCACTTCTGTAAAGACAAATTTAATGTAAATACTCATTTAAAAAAAAAAAAATAATAAACAAACTTATTAATGTAATAAGTATTGAATTTAACGAGTTTTCTATTTATAATGACAAATTAATACATTTATTTTTCATCACTAATTAAAAAATTTACCAAATTTAAGCTTAACATAAATAAATAATTTTTGTTACCTGTCCGTATTTATCCATTGGCTGTATGTTATTTCTATGATTCCATGTGTATCTAGCAGAAATTTAAGTTTTTCAATAATACAGTTCACCCCTGGACAATAAGTACACAAAGAGAAAAAACAAGCCGATGTTGATTTATCACAAACAGAGGTTTTTATTAAGTCACTATATGTTTCAGAAAAAAGGGTTTCTTTTTTTTTTAGTTCATTTTTAAGTCCATTTAATTGTAGTTTAACGTTCTGGTGAATTTTACACACACATACGTTGTGTGTTCCACTTTGACCAGCTGATATACATTCAGTCGGTCGTAAAGCTCGAAATTTGGTAAGACCAATTTTTTCATCAGGGAAAGCCTCTTGAAAATGTTTATGTATATCATCTGTGTTAAATAGCAACAATCTCTTTTGTTTTTTAATTTTGGCCCCATTTTTTATAACAGTAACACAATCCTTTATTCCTGACATCATACGACTATCATTATCAGATAAATAAAATTGTTTAACTTTTTCACACGTTGAAGTAGGTAGTGTTTTTCCCTTTTTTTTGGGAGGCTGTGATGCAAATCCTGATTGTTCCCTTACTTTTTTAGCAAAACGTACCATTCTCCGTGAGACTTGAAATTCACGTCTTATCATTTTTGTTGTCCAACTTAGTGGAAGTGTCGTTAAAACTTGGATTTTTTCAAATTTAGTGGTCTTTTGAAAAAAAGCTGCCTTACAATTATTGAGAAGTTGCTTATTCGGATCTTCATCTTTGTCTCTTAATTTATTAATGGCAACTAAAACAGCTTTTTTACATTTTTCACTAGACCCACGTTTTATTTTTATTGGTGGTTCACCTATTTCTATTAAAAGTTTATTTATTTTTACTACTTTTAATTCATTATCAACAGTTTTGCATTGAAACGAGGGATCTTGTTTTTCATTATCTTCATAATTATCTTCTTCTATTTTTTCAAAATTATTGACACTAGAACACTGATTAACACTTAATTCACTTTTGGCTGCAGGTCTCTTTCCTTTATATATAGCTCTTTCACAAGTATTACACATATATAACCCGATAAAACTTTTAAATTCATCAGCTCTACTTGTTGTAATTATACTCTGGTGATTTTTCTTATTTAATGGATTACAACATTTATTTATACGACTCATTTTATAAATATTAAATATTATTTAATAACCAACTAGCAGTAAGTACTTAAAATATTTAAAACAATATTTAATACCATACATAAAAACGCTTAGAACATTTTTATGTATAAAGAAATGTCTTGCGCCAGCTAATAAAAATATTCGGTATTAATTAATTAATTTATTTATTTTATTGATCAAAAATTTTTAAAATATTGGTCGACGGTAAATTTTTTAATAAAAATATTAAAATTTAAGTCATGTTTTGAATTCAAATAAAAACAAAGCATACAAACCAAGTCAGCCGAGCGCGGCTTCGACTCATTAAGCGCGGAGCCTTACAGTGAAAAAATTAATAATGTTTAAAGTAATGCCGGGCAGTGAATTTTTTTTTCAGGATATGAAACCTTAATATCCAGTACATGTAACCATGAAAAAAAAAACTTGATTATTTGATAGAGACTTTATTAAAAATTGTAATTGTATATTTCCAAGATCAAGAAAAGTATGAAAAAAATTAAAAAAAAAATATTTTTTATTTGTTCATAAAAATACATATATTAGCCCATAAGTCCTGAAAATTTCACTACAAAACTCTCAACAGTTTTTTCACAATTAATTTTTTAATTAAAAGTGAGAAAAATCTTTGTAACAAAAAAACTATGTTAAAATTAAAATTAAAAAAAAATATATTTCTAGGAGATATTGTTACTAATGACTACTAACGATTGATGTATTCAAATTTTAATTCTATTACCAAGTGGAAAATGGGGGGTCCACTTGAAGTGATCTGGCTCTAATACAAAAATTATACTAAAAGAAAATAACAATTTTAATTTTTTTAAGTAAAAAAAATACTTCTGGTTTTAATTTTTAATTTTTTTTAATAAAAATACAGATTTATATTTATTTTATATTAAATATATGTTGGAAAAAAATCTTGATCTTTTATTTTGACGATTATACATTGCTTTGGAATCTATAGTGGTATCACAACCTAAAAAACACCACTTGATATACAAAGTGTTTCACATTAATGGTCCATTGGAAATTTCTGGGGTCTATTTTTTTAAAAATATTTTGAACAAAATGCCACTTCCGGTTTGACCGGAACTTTGTAATTTCAAATATATTTTTACATTTTTAAATTCTACAAAAAATTCTGAGTAAAATTACTATATATATGGAACTCGAAAACTATTTACTTTAGGTAAATAGTTTTAGAGTTCCATATACCTAAAGTTAATAATTTCAAAGATATTTAACAATTACATCAATCGAAATATTTTTTAATTTTCTATTTGAAACATACAGGGTTTTTCATTTAAAATAAAAAAGATATAAGGGCGTTTCTCTGTAAACTGGGCAACTCATTGTCTCAAGCTAATATTGTTTAGAAAAATAACAGATCATAAATATTTCGTAGATAACTTCAAAAGATAATAACCTAATCTACCTATGCTCGACGTTCAAAATCCAATAAAATAAACTTTAATGTATCAAAATCGTTTTTAAAAACCAGTCCCCTGACGTGTCACCAAAGCAAAATGGTCACTTCAGACTAAATTAATTAAAGACAGTAACTATTGGAATCAACCTAATTGTTTAATTATTCAACCAATATTGTTTGCTTGTTACTGTGACTTATTTATTTTTTATAATTATTATTTTGTAATTCTAAAAATGTCATCTAAACTTTGTCTCCGGATTTTATAAACAGTCCCCTGTATAGATTTTTTAGAAAATGCTCAATGTTTTCCAAAGTAATAGGAATATTTTTGGTTCATCTCCGTATACTAATAAATAGACCGATATTTATTCCTCGAATAACATTTATTAAATACAACAAAAATATAAAAAAAAACTTGCCTAGACAATTTCTTACTTCAAGTTGCCCAGTTTACATAAACATTACAAGTTAGCCTAATTTGCCCTGGGTTTTTTTTTGGGTAATTTGTTAAAAAATGTTAAAGAATTAATATGGAATCTTTTAAACAAGATTTTAGGATTCCAAAAATTCCATTTCGGCAAACCTAATAGCAAAAAAGTTATAGGCTATTTTTGATTGACACGCATTTGTCAAATTTTAACGAAAAACAGTTAATAACTCGTAAACTATTCACTTTAGGTATATGACATGGTAAAGTAATTTTACTCAAAATTTTATGTTGAATTTAAAAATTTAAAAATATATTGGGTGTTCTATTTAAAATAACAAAGATAATGTCACTTCCGGTCAAAACGGAAGTGGAATTATGGTTAATATATTAGAAAAATAGGCTTAATTGAATAATAAACGCTTTCAAAATTTTAAATCGATATCTTTTTCCGTTCCTCAGAATTTTTTAATGGACCATGGTCGTGCACGAACGTAAAACACCCGTATTTCGTAAATGTTCAACACCCTGTATATAATTAAAAAAATTTAATTAACAAGATATTCCTGTGCTTAAAACAAAGTGAACACATTCAAACATAAGACTGCTATTGACTGTACGACAGAGTTTTTTCTGTGTACCAGCTTTTTAAAAATTTGGCAATATGCAATAAAAATAAGAAGGGTTTTATACAAAAAAATAACATAATTAGGACAACACGGATTTAGATCCGGCCATTGCTGCTTTACTAAAGCATTTCTAAAATCATGATGAAAAATGTCTTACCTGCTGCCACCTGTCCAAATGAACACAGTGTCGTAGAAACGGGGGTTGCTCTAAGCTTATTGTCTCATACAAACTTTGAGGTTAGGTTTTTAAAACATTTGATGTAATTTCTTGATTACTCCGTTCGGCTACTATTAAAAAGGTATACTTCTCAAACTTCGATAAAATAAACCGTTTCCGAGAAATTCGAGATTACAATAATTGTTATATCGCATTAAAGGTTTAAAAGTTATATGATAACAATTTTTATATTTTGATTGAAAAAACTAAAAAGGGCATTTCGTGAGCCTCGTAAATTTATGCCCTGACCGTAATATTAAAAAATTGGGTTTAAACACCATTTTAATTAAATTTATTTTTAAATATTATTGTCTATTATTTTTATACTCGTAATGAGCATATAAGCATAGTAAATAATAATATTTCAAAATAAATTTAATAATACCGTTTTATTTACAGTGTTATAAATTGTAGAAATTTTGTTTAATATCAGTTTCTTCATTCTAATTTTGAGGCATTCTACGAGACTCGGGAGTTTATTTTCCGACCGTCACAATAAAAAAACTTTAAGTAAAACCACCGTAATTAAAACGGTATTATTAAATTTATTTTAAAATATTATTATTTACTATGCTTATACACGGAAAAAAATCTATACTGATTCCAAGAAAATTCAACTCTATCCAAGTATAGCTTAGTTTCCCTATTCCGCAAGTAAATTTATACTTGTTTCAAGTATCCTCATATTCTTATAAAATAAAGATAGCTTCGGTTTAATCTAAGATTACTGCTATACTAAAAATAAGAAACACACTAATTTTGAGTTAAGTATACAAATTTGTCTTCAATGAAGAGTACGGTATTCTTGTTGTAACGTTAGTATGTACTTCATCAAAGTATAGTTTCTTTGTAAAATCTTTACAGTATTCTTGATTTAAGAATATACTTTCTTTAAAATTTATTTATTTATACTTATTGTAAGTACACGCTTTACTTGCATAAAATGCTTGTATTCTTACTTTTCCTTATTTTATATTTGATAAAAGTATAGTATATATTTAAAATAACTTTACACTATTCTTAAAGAAAGTGGTTGATTAGAAAAAAAATTCCCTCGTCTAGCGACTCGGAATAATTTTTACAAAAAAAACATTCGTGACCCTGAAAAATATTTCTATTAATTATTCTACTACTACGGAAAATACAAGTGAAAGTGAAAATATAATCGTTATGACAGTAATTTAACAGTATTTTTGGCATATTATTTTAATTATTTTAATGTACTAAAGTACTGAGTATAATAGGCACTGATCACAATAGGTTTATTACCTAACAGTCTTAGAGGTATTAGAAAAAGTACTGTCAATTAATATAAATTCATTCTTTCACGGTTAATTAACATAGATACTATATTTTACATTTTATTTTTTTAAGTACCTAGGTATCACATTTTTGGTGCTATAGGTATGTAAAGGTAAGGTTTTTTAATCACAATAGTTAATATTTTTTTAAGTAGGTATTTTTATTGTCAGTAAAATTTATCTCCAGCTAAATAATATGTAAAATGAGTCTCTAAGAAGGCTACCATTATCATCGTAGATGGTTTGGTGTTAATTCTTCAATTTTTTCTCTACACTTGATCCTCAATCCTATTTTTGGAATTAATTCCTTTAAATTCTCCTCGCTTAGGTTTACCATAATATCGATATCTATCTCGTTTTCTAAAACAAAAATAATATAGCTGAATTGGAGGCTATAGCCTTTCTGCTGTTTATGTTTTATTGTCTATTACCTGTCGTATGCTATCCATTTTACACTACAGTATACCTATCCATTTTACACACGTTTTCTAAAACAAAAATAATATAGCTGAATTGGAGGCTATAGCCTTTCTGCTGTTTATGTTTTATTGTCTATTACCTGTCGTATGCTATCCATTTTACACTACAGTATACCTATCCATTTTACACTACATTTTTACGATCATGCCTAGTTAATTACTTTAAATTAATGAAATATTATTTACTTACCCAAAAATGTGTCTAGTAAACATTCTAAGCCCCAATTTTTAAGTTTCTTCTCCATTATTTTTTATTAAAAATAACATCCAGACCGAAGAAGGAAAAAACGAACTGCCGGTGCCGACACGTACACACGCTACCACCATAGAACACAGGACAGAACTGAACACAGAATTTCTGTGACAGAAACTGCGTCTTTTCTTTTAGCGAAGCGGTCTTAGAGGGTGGACGG